CCCACGGTCCCTCCATCCAGAGAGAGAGGGAGCCCCCCCCATCCCTACAACCAGAGAGAGGGAGACACCCAACCACACCCATAGACAGTGGAGACCCCCTCCCCTCAACTGGAGAGAAGGTGTTGTACAAATCCCCCCATCACCTGCTGAGGGAACAGTGTACAACAAGTAGTCACTCTTTCAGAGCCTCATTCTTTTTAAGAGGATTACTGCTATTGTTACTGACTGTTTGAAAGGTTTTTCAGCTCCCACCCCCAAAAAAAATCACTTCCCAATTTTATTTTGCTCTCCCTTCCTATGCACATACATCTTATCTACGTATGTCATACTTTCTCATGCCTGATTTACATTGTATTCCTGTCATGTATCTAATATACATGTGATGTTAATTCATGTACATTTCACCACATTATTTTAGTAACTACCTTGTATATCTCTATACATTTTATATGTCATGATATATAAACATATGTGGATTTGATATTTGACTGGATTAGTAAGTTAAATAGATAAAAGATGTCACATAGAATACACAAAGATTTTAAATCGGTGAATTAATGTACATTTGTTTAGGCGAACAAACATTATTCTGCATGAATAAAAACAAAGTTACTGGAAAAGCTCAGCGGGTCTGGCAGTAACTGTGAAGGAGAAAACAAGAGTTAACGTTTCGGGTCTAGTGACCCTCAGAACTGTTGGTGGCAAGGAAAATGTCAGTTTATATGCAGAAGGTAGGGAGGTAGGTAGGTGGGTGGGTGGGGTAGGGAGTAAATGATAGAATAGAGCCTAAAGAGAGTGAAAGACAGTTGGACAGACAAAGAAGTTGCTCACAATCAGGCTGGGAGGGTGGATAGTTGAAAATGGGGACTGTTCGTGACTAACAACAGAGGGTGTATAATGGCAGGCTATGTGGCCATAATATACATTATGCATAATAAGATTAGAATATTAAATGTAATTTTATATATGGTACATGTGTGTATTATACATGGATCATTTTATATATTCATGTTAATTGTATAATTGTTTGAAGTTTACATCACACATAGGCAGGACGGTTAAAAAGGTGTTTGGCACACTTGCCTTCATTGCTCAGACCTTTCAGTATAGGAGTTGGGACGTTGTTGAGGCCTCTTCTGGAGTATTGTGCCCAGTCCTGGTTGCCCAGTTATGGGAAGGATGTTATTAAGCTGGAGAGGGTTCAGAAGAAATTCTGGTAATACCTGAAACGTTGACTGCTCCTTTCCTCCAGATGCTGCCTGGCCTGTTGTGTTCTTCCAGACTCCTGTTTATTTACCAGGCTGTTACCTGGTATGGAAGGTTTGAGTTGTAAAGAAAACCTGGATAGGCTGGTTTGCTTCAGGACATGGTCGAGCAGTTTCAAGGCCGAAGAGATTACGAGAGAGTTGCATTGGGAGAGAGATCCACTGAGGTTTGTCCGGAGGGAGGAGGGTAACTTCTTCAGGGTAGGCATCCTTAGAAGAGGCTTCGCAGTGGGGTTAAAATTGTATCAGAGATAGTAGGAACTGCAGATGCTGGAAAATCTGAGATAACAAGGTGTAGAGCTGGATGGACACAGCAGGCCAAGCTCTACACCTTGTTATTTGAGATTTTCCAGCATCTGCAGTTCCTACTATCTCTGGATAGGCTGGGACTTTTTTCACTGGAGTGTGGGAGGTTGAGAGGCGACCTTATAGAAATTTATAAAATATTGTGGGGTATAGTTAGGGTTAATGGTAGTTGTCTTTTCCCTAGGATGGGGGATTTCAAGACTAAGGGGTACATTTTCATGGTGAGAGGAGAAAGATTCGAACAAGGCATGAGGAGCAAATCTTTTACACAGAGGGTGGTCCACATGTGGAATGGACCTCCTGAGGAAGTGGTGGATGTAGGCGCATTTACAACGTTTAAAAGACATTTGGATAAGTAGATGAATAGGAAATGTTTGGAGGGATGTGGGCCGGATATGGGCCAAATGCAGGCAGGCGGGACTAGTTTAGTTTGGGATAATGGTCAGCATGGACTGGTTGGACCAAAGGGTCTGTTTCCGTGCAGTATGACTCTTTCTGCAACATAGAACATATTATAAACATAAATTTGACAATATTTAATTGGATTTGAGTGCTGAATATATAAATGTGAAATTGTGCTATATTTTTATGTATCAATTATATTTTATATCAGAGGTCACAAACACCAAACTGGTAGGTTATAGAGGCAAAGTAATTAGGAAAAAGGGCAGGCCAAGTGGCCCTTTGGGCCTGCCCGCCATTCAATATGATCAGTTGTCGGGATCAGTTAGTTCAGTTGGTTGGACAGTTAGTTTGCGACGCAGTGTGACACCAACAGCTTGGGTTCAGTTCCCAAACCAGCTGAGGTTACAATGAAGATTCCGCCCTCTTCCCCTTTCCTGAGGCATGGTGATCCTCAGGTTAACACATGCCACAAGTCGTGTTTCTCTTTGATGGGAGAGCAGCCCTATGGTACTCTGGGACTTTACTTTGGGGTCAATCAGCTTGGTTGACTGGATGGTTTGTGACAGTCCTCAGATTACAAGCTGCTACCAGTCACTTCTGTCAGTGAGAGTCAAGCCCCATGGTTTGGTAGGACTATGGCGACATTACAACGGTTGTCAGTTACAGAGTCATAGAGATATACAGCACGGAAACAGACCCTTCAGTCCAATTCGTCCATGCTGACCAGATATCCTAAATTAATTTACTCCCATTTGGCCCATATCCCTCCAAACCCTTCCTATTACCCAACCAGATGCCTTCTAGTTGTTGTAATCGTACCAGCCTTTGCCACTTCCTCTGGCAGCTTGTACCATACACGCACCACCCTCTGTGTGAAAACATTGCCCCTTAGGTCCCTTTTATATCTTTCCCCACTCACATTAAACGTACGCCCTCTAGTTTTGGACACCCACCCCTAACTCGGTTGGCTTCATAATAACCTCGGGTTAAAAAAAACCCAGCCTCATGAATGACACCAACAGCACAGTTTTGCTTCCTGTACCTTGGAGGATTTTCCTCCTCATCCCTCTTGTGAGGCATGTTGATCCTCAAGATAAGCCACCAGAGAGCAGCCCCTATGGCCTTGCAAGATTATGGTAACATTACAATGGGTGTCAGTTAGGTGGGTTGCCTGATTTGTGATAACATTCAGTTTGAATAACTTGCAGGTTCTGGGGACACAGGTTCAAATTCTGCCAAGGCAGAGGGTGGAATCTGAATTCAATACGAATCTGGAATTAAGAATCTGATGATGACCACGAATCCAGTGTCGATTGCGGGGAAAAACCCAACTGGTTCACTAATGTCCTTTAGGGAAGGTAACTGACACCCTTACCTGGTCAGCACCTACATGTGACTCCAGACCCACAGCAATGTGGTTGACTCTGAACTGCCCTCTGCAATTAAGGATGAGCAATAAATGCTGGCCTAACCAGTGACACCCTCATCCTGTGAGTGAATAAAAAGTTTAAAATACACCTACAAAAACAGAAGTTGCTGGAAAAGCTCAGCAGGTCTGGCAGTATCTGTGAAGAAACAATCAGAGTTAACGTTTCAAGTGTGGTGACCCTTTGTTAACATAAACCTACACCCAGTGGTCTCTCTCTAATGTCAGAAGTCTCATGACACCAGGTGATAGTCCAAAAGGTTTATTTGAAATCACAGGCTTTCAGAGTGCTGCTCTGTTATCAGGCAAAGTCACCTCACCTGGCAAAGGAGCAGTGCTTAGAAAGTTTGTGATTTCAAATAAACCTGTTGGACTATCAACTGGTGTCATGTAACTTTTGACTTTGCCCATCCCAGTCCAAAATCAGCACTCCCAATCATCTCTCTCTGATGACAGAGCAGCCCGTATGGACTTCTGGGACATGGCAACTTCATCTTCACCTATATTTATTCACACGTGGTGTATATTTGAGATGAATCCAATGATATTGGACGATGCTTATATGTAGATGAGATTCGGAATGTTAAATGTCCTTTTGGAGGGATTGTTTACTTCTGCCAAGGAACAGAATCCCTTAGCAACTGCTGTTTCCTTGGGTTGGTTTGTCTCCAAAAATCTCCCCACTTTCAGTTCACATTTCTATAAGTCACAGTAATCTGTCTGCATTTAAATGTATGTATGTATACAAGGGTGTTGATAAATATAAAGATTTAAAAGATAGGCCATGAGACATTGTTTATGTTGGAGGCGGGAGTCTGTCACGTGACCTTTACGCCCCATGCCAACGGCCATTTCCGGTCGCCATCTTGACCGCCGTAACGTTCCCCCAACTGTTTACCTTAAAACCCAAAATATGTGAATCGTTATTCGGTTTGTTCGATCCATTTTGATATGAAAGGGAAGAAGCTTTCCCCGACTTTTGTTTTAAAGCGGAGCCTATCCCTTACACATTACGTTAACACCCACGTGATCCTCAGTTTTTCCGGTCGGCCATTTTGTCTCCCCGGACGCACGGATATATGTTTGTTTTCTTCCCCCTAGTGGATTTACGACGATGGGTCAAACATTGTCAGCCCCTCCCCATCTTGATGAGTAAGTGTCGATTTTTTTTTTGAATAATAAAGGAAGAATTCTTGAAAAAACCCCGGAATTCCGCTCGCCGCGACGACGGCTATTGCCGGAAATAGCCGATGTTTACCGGAACGAGCCGGGATCCGATCAGCATGTGGGGCGGAAGTCGCTGCATCCAGCCGGAAATAAAGGCGTTTCAGAGATAGTAGGAACTGCAGATGCTGGAGAATCTGAGATAACAAGGTGTAGAGCTGGATGAACACAGCAGGAAGGCTGACGTTTCGGGTCTAGGCCCGAAACGTCAGTCTTCCTGCTGTGTTCATTCAGCTCTACACCTTGTTACCTTGGGAAATAAAGGCGTCCGACGTATCGAGGGGCGGAAGTCTTCGTGTCCTGTCGGAAAACATCTAGACAATGCGGGGCGGATGTTGTCTATAACGCGCTGGGAGCGGACCATTGGCGGGGGGGGGCGGAAGTGGACGGAAATAGCCGAGTCCGCTGCCGAAAAGTGCCGAGTCCCAGGGGTGGTGTCCCGGTGCGGTTCCACCCCTGAATCCCCTCCCCCGCTCCCATAACAACCAGCCCCGCTGCAGCTAAGGAACCGGTTAATCTGCCGATTAATCGGGTTTAAAGGGCCCAAATGCCCGCAAACTCTTCCTACTTTAACCCGTAGATGTCTTTAATAGATTTAAGACGTCGCAGGGTGACATGGCCAATGCAAAGAGCTTGTCTGGTGTTAATGTGGTGCTGGTTATGGCCTATGGCAGCTTGGTAAGTACATGCTAGTTAACTATTTATTAATGAGACAACAAGGTGCAGGGCTGGATGAACACAGCAGGCCCTACTATCTCTGAACTATTTATTAATGCCCTGGTTAACCCTTGCAGGTTTACCGAAAGGAGTTTTTAATTAAAATGCAATAGAGTGTAAGATGAGACAACAAGGTGCAGGGCTGGATGAACACAGCAGGCCAAGCAGCATCATAAGAGCAGAGAGGCTGACGTTTCGGGCCTAGACCCTTCATCAGAAAAGCTTTCCGGAGGGAGGAGGGTAACTTCTTCAGGTTAGGCAT